TATATGAGTTATTGTCCCTCAAATGATTCAATTAAAGGTTAATTGATTATTACTCCAACTTGGTACATGATAAAGCCATAAGATTTTTTGCAAAATGTTGGGTGACATATGACCTTGAAAAATGTCAACCGGAAGTGACCTTGAGTGAACCGGAAGTAGTCATTTTTGCACTTATTTCATGTAGAAGTACAAAGAAACCATATATTTTTTGAAAGGTCATACATAAATCTATCATTTGAGACTGGAAGTGATATTTTATAAACCGGAAGTAGCATATTATCTCCCTTATTACAGGCATAAGTATTTATAAACCATATATTTTTGAAATCAGTGTAAATAAATCTATCATATGATACCGAAAGTGACATTTTCTAAACCGGAAGTAGCCAATTATCTCCCTTTTTACAGGCAAAAGTATATATAAACCATATATTTTTGGAATCAGTGTAAATAGATCTATCATATGAGACCGGAAGTGACATTTTCTAAACCGGAAGAAGCCAATTATCTCCCTTTTTACAGGCAAAAGTATATATAAACCATATATTTTTGGAATCAATGTAAATAAAGCTATCATATGAGACCGGAAGTGATTTTGTCTAAACCGGAAGTTGACAATCATCTCCCTTATTTCAGGGAAAAGTCTATAGAAACCATATGTTTATTGAATCAGTATGAAGAAACCTATGATTGGACGCCAATAGTAGCTTTGAGTAAACCAGAATTAGCTTCTCATCAATTATTTAGAAAATTGATGTGATAATACCTTCAATTGTTCTTTGAACAATTGGTTCTTAAATTTTTTTTTCTTCCGCCAAATTTTGTTCTTGCGATAAATTTTTGTTTCGCAACATGTCGCTTAGATGTTTCGTATATGATCTCGAACAGTTTATGCGCCTTTGAAATTTACCTTGCGAAACCAAATAATTTTCTTTGTAGGAGTTATCTCCCCGAACACTGTTTTACTTGTGCACGCATCTCTTCCGTAACCGTAAAAGAAAGCAACAAATTTATTTTTTACCAAATTGCTTGTTATATCCTCAGGATGTTTTGTCCAATTTTGACCGAAGCAATATGTAAACTCCATATGAGAGTTATTTCCCCTTCTGTATTTGACATAAGGGATATATAAATGTATAGCATGTATGGTATTTGATAGAGACCTAAGGTGTATTGATATGAGTTCCTTTTTTCATTTAAATGAAATTGAGGCCAAGGTCATATGTCAAGGTCATATTCTAAATTTTGACTTTTCCTTGTTATTTGATCTCCTCTGTCACTTTTAAAATTACAAATTAAAGAACTAGTGCAAAATGTTTGCCTAATTGTGATTAAGATATGATACATTTGGTCTGAAACAATCCAATGTAATTTATAGGAGTTATTGTCCTTCAAATGATTCAATTTAAGGTTAATTGATTATTAATCCAACTTGGTACATGATAAAGCCATAGGGTCTTTTGCAAACTGTTGGTTGACATATGACCTTGAAAATAGTAAACCGGAAGTGACCTTGAGTGAACCGGAAGTAGTATTTTTTGCACTTATTTCATGGAAAAGTACCTAGAAACCATATATTTTTTGAATGATCATAGATTAACCTATCATTTGAGACCGGAAGTGACATTTTATCAACCGGAAGTAGCATATTATCTTCCTTATTACAGACATAAGTATATACAAACTATATATTTTTGGAATTAGTGTGAATAAAGCTATCATATGAGACCGGAAGTGACATTTTCTAATCGGAAGTTGGCAATTATCTCCCTTATTTCAGGCAAAAGTATATAGAAACCATTTATTTATTGAATCAGTATGAAGAAATCTATACTTTGACGCTATTTTTAACTTTGAGTAAACCAGAAGTAGCTTCCTATCAATTATTTAGAATATTGATGTGGAAAGATCTTCAATTGTTCTTTGAACAATTGGTTTTTAATGTTTTTTTCTTCCGCCTAATTTTGTTCTTGTGATAAATATTTGTTTCGCAATATGTCGCTTAGATATTTGGTATATGATATGGAACAGTTTATGCGCCTTTGAAATTTACCCTGCGAAACCAAATAATTTTCTTTGTAGTAGTTATCTCCCCGAACACTGTTTTCCTTGTGCAAGCATCACCTCCGTAACCGTAAAGGAAAGCGACAAATTTATTTGACCAAATTGCTCGTTATATCCTCAGGATGTTTTGTCCAATTTTGACCGAAGGGATACATAAACTCCATATGAGAGTTATTTCCCCTTCTGTATTTGACATAAGGGATATATAAATGAATAGCATGTATGGTATTTGATAGAGACCTAAGGTATATTGATTTGAGTTCCTTGGTTCATTTAAATGAAATTGAGGCCAAGGTCATATGTCAAGGTCATATTCTAAGTTTTGACTTTTCTTTGTTATTTGATCTCCTCTGTCACTTTTAAAACTACAAATTAAAGAACTAGTGCAAAATGTCTGCCTAATTGTGATTAAGATATGATACATTTGGTCTGAAACAATCCAATGATATCTTATAGGAGTTATTGTCCCTGAAATGATTCAATTTAAGGTTAATTGATTATTACTCCAACTTGGTACATGATAAAGCCATAAGATCTTTTGCAAAATGTTGGGTGACATATGACCTTGAAAAATGTCAACTGGAAGTGACCTTGAGTGAACCGGAAGTAGTCATTTCTGCACTTGTTTCATGTAGAAGTACATAGAAACCATATATTTTTTGAATGGTCATACAATAATCTATCATTTGAGACTGGAAGTGATATTTTATAAACCGGAAGTAGCATATTATCTCCCTTATTACAGGCATAAGTATTTATAAACCATATATTTTTGGAATCAGTGTAAATAAAGCTATCATATGAGACCGAAAGTGACATGTGACATTTTCTAAACCGGAAGTAGCCAATTATCTCCCTTTTTACAGGCAAAAGTATATATAAACCATAAATTTTGGGAGCAGTGTATATAAATCTATCATATGAGACCGGAAGTGACATTTCCTAAACCGGAAGTAGCCAATTATCTCCCTTTTTACAGGCAAAAGTATATATAAACCATATATTTTTGGAATCAGTGTAAATAAAGCTATCATATGAGACCGGAAGTGATTTTGTCTTAACAGGAAGTTGACATTCATCTCCCTTATTTCAGGGAAAAGTCTATAGAAACCATATGTTTATTGGATCAGTATGAAGAAACCTATGATTGGACGCCAATAGTAGCTTTGAGTAAACCAGAATTAGCTTCTCATCAATTATTTAGAAAATTGATGTGATAATACCTTCAATTGTTCTTTGAACAATTGGTTTTTAATTTTTTTTTTTCTTCCGCCAAATTTTGTTCTTGCGATAAATTTTTGTTTCGCAACATGTCGCTTAGATGTTTCGTATATGACATCGAACAGTTTATGCGCCTTTGAAATTTACCCTGCGAAACCAAATAATTTTCTTTGTAGGAGTTATCTCCCCGAACACTGTTTTCCTTGTGCACGCATCTTCTCAGTAACCGTAAAAGAAAGCGACAAATTTATTTGACCAAATTGCTTGTTATATCCTCAGGATGTTTTGTCCAATTTTGACCGAAGCAATATGTAAACTCCATATGAGAGTTATTTCCCCTTCTGTATTTGACATAAGGGATATATAAATGTATAGCATGTATGGTAAGTGATAGAGACCTAAGGTATATTGATTTGAGTTCCTTGGTTCATTTAAATGAAATTGAGGCCAAGGTCATATGTCAAGGTCATATTCTAAATTTTGACTTTTCCTTGTTATTTGATCTCCTCTGTCACTTTTAAAATTACAAATTAAAGAACTAGTGCAAAATGTTTGCCTAATTGTGATTAAGATATGATACATTTGGTCTGAAACAATCCAATGATATCTTATAGGAGTTATTGTCCCTGAAATGATTCAAATTAAAGTTAATTGATTATTACTCCAACTTGGTACATGATAAAGCCATAGGATCTTTTGCAAACTGCTGGTTGACATATGACCTTGAAAAAAGTAAACCGGAAGTGACCTTGAGTGAACCGGAAGTAGTATTTTTTGCACTTATTTCATGGAAAAGTACCTAGAAACCATATATTTTTGAATGATCATAGGTTAACTTATCATTGGAGACCGGAAGTGACATTTTTTAAACCGGAAGTAGCATATTATCTTCCTTATTACAGGCATAAGTATATACAAACTATATATTTTTGGAATCAGTTTGAATAAAGCTATCATATGAGACCGGAAGTGACATTTTCTAAACCGGAAGTTGGCAATTATCTTTCTTATTTCAGGCAAAAGTATATAGAAAACATTTATTTATTGAATCAGTAGGAAGAAATCTATACATTGACGCTATTAATAACTTTGAGTAAACCAGAAGTAGCTTCCTATCAATTATTTAGAAAATTGATGTGGAAAGACCTTCAATTGTTCTTTGAACAATTGGTTTTTAATTGTACAAGTATTTGTTATTGGGATTTATTGATCGCATGCCTGCAGTCGCAAACATGTTTACCAGGAAGTTAACGTTGTTGTTTATATAGACAACTATTGTTTTAAATTATTATGTTCAACTTGCAAGAGCTCTATATTTTCGGGTCCAAAAATTAATATTAATTAATGTAGTACTGTTTGCACAAAATATAGTCATACACAAATTGATAAATACTATGTTATTGTATCATTTTTATCATAATATTATGGGAAACATGTGTCAAAAATATAACACATTGAGTTTTCATCCTTAACTAGTGCAAACAAGCCTCTTAGACCAAGAAGACCTTGTATAAATTGTATTCATCTGGGTTTTTTTCAAACTAATAGGAATACGTCAAACAGCACAATGCCAGGAAGTACTTGAGTTTGATTTCAATTCATTTATTCATATCTATATGATTTATATAGATATAATTATAAACATTGAAATATTTCCTGTTTTTTTTCATCCAATGAATCAAATGTGTTTTAATGTTAATTAGTTTCCTTGAGTTGTGTGTTTATTTAATAAATTATTCAAAAGAAAAACATGAAATGGATATTGATCAAAAGCATGACTTATTTATTGTGTATTTTTCTCAGTGTCATGCAAGTAAAAGGTCTTGCATATGGAGTTTGTAGAATACATGACAGGTAGGTGATACCCCATTAGTGCTAGAACTGATTTTTTTAAAATGAGAAAATAATGTAAAATAACAATTCTTGCATATGTAAACCATTGACTGTCCGAAATATAAGGAACTTAGAGTAAAATTCATTAAGAAATATTACTGGTCTAGACCAAGTGTGTTTAAATTTATTGAACTTTTAAGTTTAAAGAACATCAAACAGTTAACCAATTAGGAAAATACATTTTTACTACATTTGAAATCAGAGACAATATTACATGAACATTCTCTGTCTGTTTACTTGTGTACTTTGTGAAAATTTGTATTGACACCGATGAACTGTAAAGTTCAAGGTAATAAAGAATATTTCAACCCTCATCAGTGACAGAAAAACGTAATTAATGATGACAAGTCGTTCAAGGTTAAAATATCCAAAACGGCAAAAGCGGGAGATTATATACTCCCTCGCGGGAGGGTACCGGCAAGCGGGAGATTTCCCGAATTTCGTCATTTGAGCGGGAGTCTCCCGCGCAAAACGGGATAGTTGGCAGGTATGCAAAAGTAATGTATTGAAATAGAAATTAATAACATTGATTTAAATAGCTGAAAAAAAGAAAATATATTATTAATAAGGTGACCTTTTTTGGCCCAATATCCCATTTGAAAATCGAAACGTAATATGATTCTGATAAATGATAAAACATGTAATCAACACATTGCAATGCACTATGCAGCCAAATTCTAATATATGTGTGTGTTTATTTTTGTTTTACATACAAGAATTTGCTTTAGACCTTCAGTCTCTCTGCAATTTAAAAAAATCTAAAGCTGCATCATATTGAGATCTTGTCATTTTTTAAATGATATGAACAAAAAAGTCGACGGTAATACATGTACGCTTATATTTTCTAATATTCCAAAAAATAGAGATATGGAATGACAATAGGTTAAAACAGGCTGGAAAGTTGGTTCGGAAGATTTTATTGTATAACTGTTAAATACATCACACATATGTCAACAATATGCCAACAATTGTAATTTTAAAAATAACAAAATAAGATATTTTTGTCGCTCTTACAACTTGATGGTCGGTTTTATTTCACTAAAATACTGTTTTTTCAGCAGGAGTAAATATATACACGGAGTTCCATCATTATTGAACCACTATAAAAGCGCTGTTTGTTTGAAATTTTGTTTTGACATGTACCCATAAGGATTTGATGTCATGCAGTCCATCCGATTTATTTGACCTTTTCATTCGCTATTTTCAGCCAAAGTGTAGGACATTTTAAATTGATGTCACCAATCATGGTTTTCTTTATGTTTACAATGTGTATGTCGTTATAACCGAAATTGTACTTATGATGAGAAATACGACAGAGTCTGCTTACCATATCGTAGAATTTAAAATCACCATCGTTTTTAGTAAGTTCGTGATACTTTAGTGTTTAGTTTTCTGTGAAATGTTTACTAAACTGTTGTTTGCCATGGTCGTTTTTTTTTTGCCATGGTCAGCTTCCCTTTGACTTATGATTTTTTAGAATGTCTTTGGTATCTTCTGCCTCAGATATATGGAAACGAAATAATACTTATACGGGCTTTAGAATATATTTTGTCTGACAAAGCCACAGCAAAATGTTGAAAACTACAAATGTTTAGGTAACCACGAGCACATCGAGATATCTTAAATAATATTGTATTGAAATAAATCAAGGACTACGATTTGACACAAGTTATTGAGACAAAATTATACGACAAAAATTAATATAATTAATTTTCCCATTGTATATATATTTTCCATATTTGATGCATAAACATTACTTCAGCTGCAGCATATGGAGCATGTATCCCCAATATATATAGATACGGTATTTCAGGAATTACGTTTCTGATCTTGTTTTTTTTTTAACAGGTCGGGAACATTACCTTATATGGATATGCATACATTAGCATACTAATGTCATCGCAAATGTAATTGTTTATTTACGTATGACGCAATTTTTTTTCCTGCCTGGGTTTTTGACTAATCTATTAAATGATTAACAATGCATGATGTACTACAATGTACTACTACGTGTTTATGATCAACCGAGAACACGTGTATTTTGCTAAAATACAACACATTTTTCAGTGCATTGCGGGATAAGCAATTTCGCTTAGTTTTCATCTTTTGTATCTATATTTACAGTCCGTGATATGAAGTATTCGTTCCATGCTCAAATTGATGAATAGGTGTTTCTATGCGAAGAAACGAGTGTTTGAATTACCTGAAATATAGCCATTAATATTATTGATAGTTGAACGAAGATTTCAGATATTCGATCACAAGACAACAACGAAACAACAGTGAGAAACACAATTACCCATAAGATGATCTTTCATTTAGATAGTTAAAAAAAAGGATCCAGGAATTATGAGTCGGTTCTTATAAAGGGGAAGACTAAGAGGGTTTCAAATACCTGTTGGGGTCACTAATGTGTCCCAGCTTTTCACTTAAACCATTGTCGTGACGTCAGCGTATTTATTTACCATGGATTCTTTTTCTAGAATCAACGCTTCCTAAATCTGTCTCTTAAATAGGCTCACCAAATTATATTCAATTGTGTCCTTTGTGTGTCTAATTTCATTAAGTTTGAATTGGCTAATTTACTGATTTCTGTTCACTAATGGAATTAATTTAAAACTTACCTTTAATTTTTGTATCTTATATGTCGAACTAAAGACGACTCATACCTCTTCACCAGGACGACTTGATACGAACTTACCGTTAATTTAACATATTTAAACATTGTATATACTATATAGTATTATATAAAGTATTTTATAATTATTGTATGGCATTCTGAACTAGATGTTATGAAGCGTAAATGTTTTTTCATATAGTCTAGAGGAGCTGGGATGTAAAATAGTTATCCCACTCGGACTTGGTATGTCAGTGTAAGATCACCCTCTGGCCTCCGGTCATCGGGGTGATCTTACACTGACACACCGCGTCCTATTTATGAAGATTTAAAGCTAAAGGCGTAGCCGAGGGTTTTAAATGTTCATACAACATGACCAAGTATTGTCTGACCAATTCAGAACATATTCACACTTTCGAGTGACCTTACAAAATTATCCTTCTCATTGTTATATTCAAACCTAAAAAAGAATTCACTTTTTATAATGAAGTTAATGTATAATATAGGTAATGATCATTTCAATGGATGGAATGAAATAGCACTAACATAGTTTGTTAGGACAAAAAGGATAAATTGTTTAAACATTTGAGTTTTTCTTCTGCTTCAGGTAAAATTTAATACTTATATACCTTAAATTTCTTGATTTTAAAAAGCACACAATATTATATAAATCGGGATTCCGCTTTTTGGAATTTGTATATTTTTGGATAATTATAAAACTATTTGAATTACGACCATTCAACATCAGATGCTTACTTTTTATTGATGAATGTACATGTATTGTTTTTTTTTTTCGAACAAAATCCTTTGCTTTATATATCAGCAGTCTGACATTGTTTTCTTGAAAAAAAAAAATAATAATTGACTCGAATGTCTCGTATGAAAATTGAATACAAGATTATTTTACCTACATCCTTGCCCCCATTTCATTTTTTGTTTGTTATATATATATACCATTATAAACATTTGCAAAATTCAAAATGTTTTTTTATAATTCTTTTCTCTTTGATCTTTAATCAGTAGGCTATTTTCCCAAGGAAAATGCCTCATGGGATTGTACACTTCGTTAGTGTAGTTATTAAGAGTTCACTTTCATAATTAATCTACAATGAAAAGTCATTCATGTATAGCATTTTATAGTGCATGGAAAGCCATGTACTATGAAAATTAGAAGGGTAAAAACTGACTTTTCATTGGACGAGAAGGGGTGAGTATGTTCTAACTATTACAGAATCAACGATTCCTAAATCTGTCGCTTAAATGGGCTCACCAAATTATATTCAATTGTGTCCTTTGTGTGCCTAATCTCATTCAGTTTGAATTGTCTAATTTACTGATTTCTGTTCAGTAATGGAATTAATTTAAAAACTAACCTTTAATTTTTGTATCTTATATATGCCTTCACTGGGAGTCGAACCCCTCCTTGAAATATCTTATGTGTGACTGACATCAACACATCGACAAAACCTCTCGGCTACCAATGGGTACGTTGCAATTCAAATGTCTATTATATATATTACAGAACATATCATACACATCGGTACAATGGACATACAAGGCTTGTAACTTTATGTATACATAATAGACAATCGTATGGTATAAGTTGGTAGCCGCGAGGTTAACAAGGTTATGATCAATGAATTCAAGAGTCGAATTAAGGGTAGACTTGTCGGTTTAGGTTCGAATCCATGTACTCTCTTTGTTGTCCCTATTCTTTCGTTTTTCTTATTTTGTTTGTTATTGTGGATATTTTTGTAATAATAGCGGGTTTTCCCATTTTTTGGGGATTATTATTGGCTATTTTACATATTTGAAAAGATAATGATTACATTCAAGTTGTCTATCTTTGTTTTATGAATATAGTACACTTTCACCTGTTTTACTAATGTTTATTCGCAAATCCTTATGCGAGTAAATCGTGATGTGCCTAGAAAAGGCTTCTTGATAGAATTTTCGGTAGCATACGTATTATATATTTAGAAATATGTTCGAATATGTCTTCTTTTGTAAATTATAGATGATATTCAGATGCCTAAAAATTAAAGACAAATGTTATATTTGTATTTTCTAACCAATTTATTGTGAACTTAGATTTATTAATGCATCGTTGGACATTTAAACTCACTTACAATACCTTCTAATTGAGAAAGGCTTTAATTTTAAAAAGACATCAACACAATAGTTTAAGTTTGAGATACAATGGATAAGCGTTGATTCATGAAAAACAAACCATTCGCCCTCCTGGCTCATGGTTTTTTTTTCAAGAATCAACGCTTATTGATTGTATCTATAATACATAATTGATGGAATGATATTGTACCTGATTTCATGATTAAAAAAAGTCATTTTAATCGAGGAAGGGTATGTATTTATTACTTTGTCTCTAAGAAACAAGCACAAGTACTTTTCAGAAAGATTGGTTTCCTATTATCTAGAAATGAGATATTTACAATAGATTTCTTTGTAATATTTATATATTGATAATTCAACAGGTACAGTACATATATAAAACCTATATGAGCTATCATTATTCATCGAAACTGTTCAAGACATTTCTAAATTCTTGTCTGACAATGGTTACAAAATCTACAAGAATTGATTTTTTGGCATATTTCAGTTCTTGGATTTTTGTTAGAATACTTACTTTTAGAAAAGTTTACACATTCAATGCAGATAAGTCTGCGTCTGTCGTTACATCCATATAACCGGGCATCATGTAACGCCAAAACGGGAACATGCTTGAAATTAAGCAGTATTTCAATGCCATGTTCTTTGTGTTTTTCGAAGCAGCAATGTTTTTGGAATGGCATTATACAGGATACAAAAAAATCCATGAGCATATATATAGAGAGGCATGTAACCCATTCCTTTAAACCGTTTCGACAGGTTTCAAAGAGCTCAAATGATTTTTATACTGGACAGTGGTCACTTCATTGGAAACTTCACTGTTTCACGTGGAATGAATGCACAGGTACAATGCATATCAATGGACAATACCTGTTCAACTACTTTTACAAGGCGAAAAAGAAAGTCGAATCGTTTAGGCAGTAGTCAATATTATTTTTAATCTGAGCATGCAAATTGAAGATTATGTTATATATTTTACATTTAATACATTGGCTGAACAAAAATATTTATTATGAGAGTCCAAGAGACTATATAAGTTGACAGTTTTTCCACTAATTTCACATGTTTTTAAGTGAAAGTAAACTCGTAGTAGCCCACAATGTATTATAGTTCATGGAGTCGATTGGTCAGTTTTCAAGGCCATATTTACCTTCTATTTGGGAAATTACTAAGTAAATATAAACTGACGCCATACAATCTAGTGTGTCCGACCCGTTTAAATAGTATTACTGTTAAAGTGTTTACAAGGAAGCTATTGTATAAAGAGTTCCAAATTGTAATATTGCATTCATTCTTTAAAACTTTTACGGTCGAAATCATGATTTAGTTGACCGTTATCTTATGGATTATCTGTGTCACATGACCACGGATATGTTTTTACTTGTCGTAACCACAATCTCATCCACTCCTCTAAACAGAAAGATCTTATTACAGTATGTTACTTCACATAAGAACACGTCACGTACCATTACTAACGGAGGAGGAACCTTGTCTGTCTGTCTTTGTTTTACTTTTTCTTTGAGACGGTGTTGTCTGTTCTAATTAGACGTATGAACTTTAATTGCTCCTTGGTCCAGAGGAGCGATTCTTTTGTAGTGCTGTTTTCATTTTGTATACCCTTGTATTTCTATATTCTACTTAATTTGTAGTGAATTGGGAAAGCATATGCCATAATGTTTTACTATACTGTATGTAATATCATCTGCACACACCTTTTTGGTGGTGTCGTTGGCAGATTTAATTGTATGTATGTTTGAAAGTCAGGTGTGTTGTATGTCTGTTATCCGGCTATTGTCACGTTTACAAATAATGTTTGTCTGTGTTGCTCACCCAATTTATTTAATTCAACAATACTTTAAACAACTGTAATACAAGTGGAAGGTTAAAATATCTACAAAACTAGGTTTATCACACATTTCTTTTTTCTCTGAAAATGACCGTACCAAGTCAGGAATATGACAGTTGTTTCCATTTGTAAAACACAACTTTGAAAATTAAGTAGATAACTAGAGTAAGTAAGTTCCAAAGGTAACAATTGTTTTATAAAGATTAATTTCGTTAATATATGAAATGTCAAAAACAAAATCACATTGGAGATATAAACTATAGCTGTATCAATGCAAAACACGTCGTTTGCGCAACATTGTCAAATAGTGGTGACATTGGTTTCCTTTAAAGGGGCATTAGCTACGAGATATAGAAAAAAATAAAATATGATTTTATTTTTATTCAATCATTAATGAAAGTGAAATAGTGGTATTGTAATTCGCTTTTAGCAGCTAGTTTGGTTCAGTTTTGTCAAAATAAGCAAAGTAAGATCGCTAATGAATTATTCACTTGCAAATGAATAATTCGACCTCACTATATCCGTATTTCTTTTGAAATTCGATTGAACCTCTCAGCTAGAGATGGGTTATGCATGAACTAGGCGTGTTCAACTATTAAAAGGAAAAGAATGTCAACATTGGAAGTGAAACAAGGGTAAACCATTTGGTTGACTGATTCGATCTACTAAAATTCATTCTGATACAGGTAAAAACGATTAATAATATATTTTCTTAATCTATATTATGAAATCAAACAGACCTAAAAAAAAGAGTTCGCTATCTATTTATATCTATGTTTATGTTTATATCGGGTTATATAACCGTCGGCAGTTATCGGAGGTCACATCGATGGTTAATTAGATGGCGTCAAGACTAAAATACACACGAAATGCTGGTACCTTCTATCGAGTCTATGCATCGTAAATTGTTTGTTTTAGACTTTTTATAATCTGAATATACGTTTTAGTATGTTATAAGTCGAATATGAGAATTTAAGTCAAATCGGTGAACATGAATTTTACAGCTAATGTCCCTTTAATAAGAGACCGATATAGTTGACAAATTAGTTGGCACTTCAGGAAAACTGAGCGCGGTATATTTTATCATAAGATTAACTTTATTCCATTGAAACTTGCTATGTGTTAATTCAAAGCATGGTTTTGTTTGTCTTCTAAAACTATTCATAATTCTTGTTTCCCTTCTGATTAGCGGAATTAATCAAGATTTATTGTAACTAGAAACAGTGAAGATTGTAATTCATAGACATATTCAATAATGCCAGGTCTTCCTTTTGTATATTGAATGATTTGTTATAGTGTATTTTTTTCAAATATGTACTTTAAGTGAACAAGCGTTGCATCGTGATCAATGACAGTTCTGTCTAAATCGATTGATTACGCATTTACAAGTTATTCAATTTTGAACATCAAAGTGGACGTGGTTGAAAAGAAACAGATCTTATCTGTTATCATAGATAGTTCTATTGGCAGTTACAATGTATGCAACGTCACGGAAAAAAATAGACGTGACTTACTTTTTGTTCTTAAGATATAGCATACGATATTATCCTTGGCGTTGCTTTATGTATAAGTGATTCAAAACACTATTTACTAATTTTTAAATGAATAACTGTATGACGTTTGTTCATTGTCATCGCTTCTTTTCATTCAGTCGATTAGAGTGACAGCACTGAATCAAGACAAACATGATCTAAGACATAACACCACTTAACAAAATAATGATACCGAATTTTTAACACAAGTTATTTGCAGCATTAACGATCCTTCCAGAACATTTTGCAGGGATACATAAAAGGTACAACAAACATGTGAAGGAGAGTGTATGGCAAGCCGTTTTATTATCTAACTTCAAGATATCAATTTAAATTTATAAGATATCTCATATAGTTTATAAGATATCTTATATAGTTTATAAGAAATCTCATACAATTTTGTTATAAAATATCTTATAAATTATATGAGATATTTTATAAACTATATGAGATTTCTTATAAACTATATAAGATATCTTATAACATATACGAGATATCTTATAAAGCATTTAAGATAGCATGTATAAAAAAATATTATATAAGATATATATCTCATTTAATATATAAGATATAAGATATTTTATAAAAATAAAATTATATAAGATATCAAGATATCTTATATATTATATATATTTCTCTTATATAGTTTATAAGATATATTATTTATTATATACAATATCTTATATAGTTTATAAGATATCTTTATAAGACATCTCATATAATTTATAAGATATCTTATATAATTTATAAGATATCTTATATAATTTTCTTTATTAGAATTCTTATGAATTATATGAGAAATCTTATAAAGCTTATACGATATCTTTCAAAAACTAGATTATATGAGATATCTTATATATTATATGAAATATCTTGAAGTTTGAATAAATAGTAAAACGGCTTGCCATAAGAATGTGTTTCTTATTTATCAACACTTCATATATAAACTATATTTTATCTACATTGTATTTCTGTAGTGTATTAATTAAAAGATAAGGAATACTCTGATGTTTCACTCAAATCATGAAACATTGTTGATTATAACTTAGATTTGCTGCCTCAAAAATTATATAAATGACGTTAAAGACTTTTCAAAAGCTTAGATCCTTTGAAACTAAGCTATCCTATCATTATAAAATCAGAACCACATTACAGATGGCAAAATATATTGCAAATTTTACCAAACCGAGCAATATTTACCATTTCTATTTTTTATTATATATTTAAGTTTAAAACAAATGTCTTTTCGATATGCACCTGCCTAAATTTGGTATTATCTGCCCCCCCCCCCCCCCCCCCCCCAAAAAAAAAGGGAAACAAAGTTTGCTCAATTCAAAATGCAATATGTAATCCTCCCTCATTTGATTACATCTAGCGAAATGCCCACAATAATCAAATTCCAAGTATACAACATGTATTGATTATTGTTGTTTTAATAATGTGTGTTCAAAGCAACGAGGGAGTTTCATCGACAAGATACGTAACGATGATAACACTTTTTCTTCAGTTTAGTAGGAGAACATATGGTACAAGTGGAGGATTGTTGTTACAATTTTTACAAGAAGAATGACGTCTGTGTTGGTAAGTTAAAAAACACAAGAAAGAGAAAATACGTTTATCAGAATTGATAATAAAATTCAACAAATATAAATATTTATAATGCAATTAGCTGTTATATACAAAAATTCTTGTAACGTATTTACAAAAAGTTTTATTTCATTGCATAGTATGCCATTGGTCTTCTGGTATAATGCTTTTTGTTGTTGAGAGAATGGCATAATTCTATTTGTTAATTCACTCTTTCGTGTTACAGTTTGTGTGTAAGAATGTCAATTTATAAAAAAAAACCAAATACATGTACATATGCTTGATTATCAAAATACAAAAATGTTAAAGCATAAACTTTGAACTGCAGGAATAAAAACAATGTGTTTACATTATTTGAAAGTATATAGAATATGCACTCTGATAAAGTTTACTTGTATTTAATTGATGCATCATTTTAGTATTGAAAAAAGTAAGTATTTAACTGAACGAAAGTGAAAGTCTATTGAAATTTGGTTAACATCCAATTAATCATAAACCTGCATTAAATCCTATGTACAAGGCTCCACTATACGTGTGGTAATTGTTATGTTACTTTTTTTTCACAGGAGGAAATCGAACATAGAATTGCACGTATCAAATTGTTATATTCACATCGTTTTCACATTTGTAAACGCCGAACATATGTACATATACTGTCGTGATTGTGTGAGGCCACATCTTTTTTTTACACCGTGGTAAACTTCAAATCACTCATGCATATTTTGTTGTTGTATAATGCAATAAACATGTCTACATTTTTATCATATTTGGACTCACTTTGAATAAAAGAAACACGAATAAACAAAATGAATAAATAAATAATTTAGTGAATACAACGCATTTTACCAGACGGGTGTCTTAGTGGGCGGGCAATGGGCGTGCACCCGCCATAAAATCGAATAAAAACATGTTTTGCATATAAAACATCAAAAACATTTCAGTCACAGTAAGGTGTGTTATGGAGAATCCAAAGGGGCTCTTATGGCAAGCATAATACCCCTTGAATTTAACCCGTTAAAAACATAATGTCAATTGATTTCTTGAAACCCCCATAGCAATTTAATATAGTAAAATACTTCAATAGCAGCATTACCTAAGTCTCAACTAGAGGCTCTAAAAATTCGCTCACCTAGGTCTATTTGCATATTCAACAAAAGACATTCTCAAACATTGTAGACGAGAATAAAATTCATGACAAACATCTCTTTTTTGTTGATCTTGAATTGCTGATCATTTAGTCTGTTTTGTTTCTTTGTATCTTCTTTAGTTTTTGCTCAAAACACAAAATGGTTTAAAAAATATTTAATTTAGGGCAATCACTCCTATAAAGAGTGACAGTCTACGAACTATATCAGTAACATTTGTTTGTAGATCTTGCCTTGCTGATCATTTTTGTTTTTAAAAGTTTCTATCTATCTATTCTAATTTTTATCATATAAGGCAAAACGCAAAAAAAAAAATGGTAAAAATCATCACTAAAGGACAGTAACTCCAATAGGGGTCGTCGGACGATTTCCTCTATATTGTCTTAATGTAGATCTTATCTTGCTTATCACTTTTGCTGATTAAACTTTCTATCTTTCTATCATAATTGTTAATATATAAGGCATAAACGCAAAAATTGGTAAAAAATAGTCATCAAAGGGCAATATTTCTAATAAGGAATCGGCTGACGATTTCGACCGAGCGACTTATTTGTAGATCTTGTCTTGCTGATCATTTTTGCAGTTCAAAGTATATCTCCATCTATTATATATAGTTTTCAAGATAATAGGCAAAGATGAAAAACAAAAATAGTAGAAATTGTCATTTAAGGACACCAACTCCTACAAAAAGTCGCCTGACAGTTTTGACGTAAATAGAACATTGGCAGGTCAATATCTTGAACATTTCTGTCTATATCAGATTTTTTTTAATTTATAACGGTTTTTAAAAAAGTAGACAAAACTTGCATTTTACCCCTATGTTCTATTTCTAATCATGTCAGCCATCTTGATTGGCAAGCGGGGTCATCGGACACATTTTTTAAACAAAGATACCCCAATTATGATTGTCGCCAAGTTTGGTTAAATTTGGCCCAGTTGTTTCAGAGGAAAAGATTTTTGTAAAAGTTATCGACGACGACAACGGATGCGAAGTGATGAGAAAAGCTCACGTGGCCTTTCGGCCAGGTGAGCTAAAAAGCAGTCACACTGTTTACATCTCATTGTAACTTCGTATACCTCCAATTTAAATCGTTTTTATTTTTTTATTTTTTTTTTTAATCATGACCGTTTTAATAGCTATGTACATTATTTGAACACGTGTTTTCTTAAAATAAAATATGCAAGTAAATAAACGAAAGAAAAATATGTCCAATGTTTTTTTTCCAATGTTTTTTTTTCAAAAATTAAAAGCATACAACGACTGTAACCTTTACGTTTACTTTTTTTTCAGAATGTCCGCTTGGCCATTCTTCGAAGGGCATACAGTGTGAAAAATGCGGGGATGGACTATTTGGAAAAAAATGCGCAGAGGTGTGCAAATGTAATGCCACGGAAAGGTCTTAAGCTTTATATCTATTTTAGATAAACTATATACGACCTTAAATCTTATATTAAAGAAACGGTTTTGCTGTTGATCTCAAAGTACTTCCCCGGTCCACCAAACGCATTTTTTTTAATGTTTAATGTCTTCGATTCGGAAACTTTTGGTCCGTTATAACCATCTTTGATGTTCATCCAATTCCAAATAATTGTTTACCTTCCCGTTGTCCTATGAAGCTGGAACACAAGAAAGATAACAGTACTAAAACACGTGTGATACTGACATTTCAAGAACAATTTCTGTAGGTGCGATTCAGTTATAGGAATTTATAAAACCGCCAAATTAATAGTTTTTGGTTTAATTAGTTACAACTCAAAACATTACAAAAAACATATTAAGCCCTCATTGAACTTTGTATAAGACTAAGAAAAATATTTTATGGGAAAAAGCCTTTGCTTATATCTAAATATTAATGATACGATTTCAAAATGAGGCTATTTAAGAAGAATTGACAGTTTTGCAAATGCATTAAACACGTGAGACACTTTTCAAAAGGTTTGTTGTAATTAGGAATTCGAAGTTATCACTGTTCAAGGATTGTTCTAAAAAAACATCAGATAGGAGGAAATTCGTATGTAATTCATAAATGTGAAATCAATTATTGCAATTTCAGAAAATGTTTCATACAAATAACGTTCCCCGTCGAATTTCCGAAAAATTAAAAACATCGCAAATATTTCTTAATTTACAAAAAAACAACAAATACAACTAACGGAAAAGCAACACGAAAAAAAAAACCAAAAAAAAAAAAACCAGAAGAAACTAGAGGGAAAGGTGTTCCGGAGAAGTAAGCAGTTCAGGTCTTCTAGCAGCATTCGTCGTGTTTCTCAGGACCAGAAGTCGTCGTCATCGATATTGTAGACATACACAGCTGTGAAGGAAGGACGAAGAAATTTCTCTGACAAATTGATAAATCTATGTGGTCATGGATTTTTCGTTACGGTCAACCGATTCAAGCTTGTGGTACAAACTTTCTGTACATACGTGTTAATTCCAAAAGCAAGACACAGCACAATAATTGCGGTTCCTCGTCTCAAAGTCAAAATGAGGCTTGTTTGTGTAAGTTAAAGTGGTTCCTGAAAAACGAATAACTGATGATCGAACACTTGAGGGTACACAGGTCTTCTACTGATACATAATACTGATTTGATTGTAGTTACTTGCTGCTTTGTATTCTCAACAGTCATGTAATAAATCTAAAAATCAGCAGTTGTTTTTAATATAATTTATTACATTGCTTGCAATGAATAACGGTGATTTCCCAGTGAAATAAAAACCGATAATTTCACATGTGAAATAAATCTGATAGTTTCATTCCTTCTACAACAATGTGTGTTGTCGAGACGTTGTTGATCATGACGTTGCAGTAATACAATATTGAGAATGCTTAGCAAAAGATATAGTTTATGTCATTGTTTACTTTATTTGCATTAAAAAGTCCATGGTCAATAAAATAAAAAGAATAACTAATCGAAGAATTAAAATATCAAAAAATATGCAACTCCTGACCGAACAACATTGATAATTAAGTCGTGAACTACGTGCATTCGTAAATTGATTCTTTATTTTAATTCTTGAGTTACAAATGTAGTTATTCAGTAAATCTTAATGTGTTTGCCATTTAGGAATTTAAAAAATTAGAATTAGCATATTTTAAAACATTTGTCTATTAATGGAGACATTTTGTTCAAAAGTCATAAAAGTCAAAGGGTTTTCAAGTTGATGTCTTGCTATCTCATTGACGTTTATCAATTATATATCATGTTATTCATACTGATAGTGTAAGGAAAACCTATTTGGTAAACAGAAAGCAAATAAATTGAACTTGATATCCCTGAATAAAGTAAAGAAAACGTATAAGTTTTTTTTTCTCATACACAGGTGTGATCATGTGGTGGGATGCATTTCTGTTACAGTAGATGGTAAGCGATAGATTAAATATGCATGCATACATTCATGAGTGTAGATAGCCGTTGAGTTTACATAAAGGAGGACTGTCATAAAGATCCAAATCGGCTGTTTAGATTATTCAATAAATGACGCATAAAGGTCATTTTCTGGAAAGCGTTTTTAACAAAAGTACAATAAAAATTCAGAACCACAATCAATATCATTGTTTATTCAAACTAATATACGCAACTTCTGACCATCAAATTGTGTATTTTTGTAGACGCTAGACTTCCACAAGACACATACGTTTTCAGAGGTTGCGGTATTGACATATTGCACCAAAAACGCCGGATTTGTTAATATAATTTGTCAAATTTCCGTGATTCTTGACCTATTGACTACTGAAATTATCCTCTTCACAATAGGAAAGACCACAAATTTGAAGCAATTGCTAATCTTCAATCACATTTCTTGTCGTATATATATAAGGCACTTTTCATCAATTCCCAGTTTTTTAGCAAATGTGTACAGTACAATAAAAATCAAATATCCCATGAAATAATAATGATTGATATCGGTTCCGGTTGTATAATGAATGGACTTAAGACAACTGAATAATTAAAAGTTGTTCAACTCTAAAATACTTTTGGAGTAGATGCCAAATAGGGAATGAATACCACGGTTGCAATGTATTATTCTACTTTAAGACAAGAATTGCGTGAAAGTGAGCACAAAAGCTTCGTGGCATTATTATTATAAGTCGAAATGTTATTTCAACTAAATATTTTGTAGGTAGTATTGATTTATGTATGAGTGAATGGTGTTTACTGAAAAAAAAATAGAGAATAATATGCCAATACTGCAATAAAATGGATCAAGCTAATAAAGAAATACATAATCTATTGATTGATTGATTGGTGTTTGCTTAATGTCCAGTGGCAAATACTTCATGCATGTTCAGGACGAGAACAAAGTTCTGATTAATACAATAGGCAAGTTCTGTAATAGAGGTCGAACGGGATGAAGGGCAGGAAATTTGGACTCACACTGAAAAATAAAGGTATATTGTACAGGGACTGAAATTAAGACAAGCAATAAGTCCGGTACGGACCCTTCAAAGAGTTGTTGCAAAGGTTCTAAATGCGCAGAGAGCGTGGCATATTCTCTAAACGAGGTATCGGATTTAACGTCCTCATTCAGACTTGACGTAGCTGCATATTTATACATCCCGAATAACCAAACGTACGCCCAACTTTGACAAGGGTTTAATTGACAGCTGCCGGTCGGAAGAAGACCAAGCTTAGAGTGACAATATTTCTATTTCCAAGTCACCCTTGTGTTAATAAAGAATAGAGAATAATGGTTTGCTCAAATATAAATTATTGAATAATGGGCAAAATTTATAAAGAATAGAGACAAATGGTCTAAAAAAATAAAGAATACAGAAATTAAAACCCCTAATGTATTGAACTTCATGCAACACTAATATGACTTCTATTTTATCGTGTTTTAGACAGGACAGAGAGGACAAATCCTCCCTTAGATGGTAATCCAGCCGAACAGGCTGCCGGTATGTTTATTTCATGTTTTTGATACTTTGTGATCTATACATGAATTAGAAAAATAAACTGTTAACCGATAACAGATAATTCCAAAGATCCAAGAAAATACCCGTGATCTGGAAAAATTGAGATCTTCTGTGTTTAAAATCTAATCGCAAAAAAATGATTGGCCGATGTTCTACAGCAAATGTTTTAAAACTTGATATACTTTAACAAGATGATAAACACACACTATATTTCATGTAAGAATTTCTATCAGTTATAAAGATATAGAATACTGAAAATACATAGAATAAACTAAAGAATCTGACTTTGTACCTCGGTCATTCTAGCTTTTTCAAAAATATGTCTATTGCCAACGTGGTTCAACTTAATGAATTGGACAGAGTCTTATAGTATACACCGAATGCACAGCGACAATAAAATGGAGGATACCATCTTATAATAATGTATTTCCCATTTTTCTAGCTGTTAGGGAATTGAATATGAAGTTTGAAAGCGTAATATCATAAATGTTTGACTAAGACATAAAAAGTTATATAGGATTGTAATTTACGTACACGAAGAGTAACTCTTTGTTCGATTTTTTTTTAATACACATGCATCTTAGATAAATAAAGCATCCCCTTTTCTGGAGATAGAACACTTCACTACAAACAATGTTGTTTTAGAAATGTCTCCCTATATTTCTATTGGAGATAGACAATGGATTTTTTAACTGTGTATTTACTGTAATATTTCCAATTTTGGACTGCTGAATTTGCTAAGAATTGCTCCTATATTATAAAAATAAGAAGATGTAAAATGATTGCCAATGAGACAACTCTCCACCGAATGCCAAAATGACATGGAAGTTAACAAATATAGGTCAACGCAAGGCCTTCAACAATGAGCAAAACCCATACCGCATAGTCAGCTATAAAAGGCCTACTAATAACTAAAGATAATTTTGATCACAATTTTTTTACATCAAAAATACCTGAAAAATAGTGAAGATACAACACAATACAATATTTTCCTCTGAACTAACTGAATGAATAAGCTATTATAATCCAATGCAAATGTTGAGACAGAACAGAAAACTCTTATGGTGTTGAAATCTCGTATTATAGTTGTATAGGGAGATAGAACATTGCACTTAGATATCAAATATATAACTATCTCCATTTTTACCAAAAGTGGACATACAACGCTATAAGATTCACATGACGACATGTCATAATTCTATCTATGATTACAAATAAAGTACATGTATATTATTATATAATTGTCGTATCTTTAATGTGCAGGACATGACGATGTTGTTACTTACATGACTTGCGTAGCAGTTGGAAGCGTTTTAGTTGTCATCTGTGGTCTACTCGTGAAGAACAAAGAAGCAGTGTGTAGACGAAATGGTAGTATCACTGCCATGAAAAATGAAATAACGGAGAGAAAGCGACCAAAACTCGGTCCGGGTAAAAACAATGGTAAAGATAAGAAAAAAAGCTTGTATGCGGAAATAAACGAAAATTACATGATCAATTTCGACGGAGAATGAATTAGAAAGTACCCAGATTTTATTTTCAATTGGACATGCTAATTTAATATTTTTTGTATGTGAGTGTATAGGTTATTTGTCTAACATTTCATTTACTACTGCTTTACACTTTACACTATGTGTGTGTTTTATGTCAATTTGACTAGTACAGCCTTTTCCAACTGATTTTTACAGTTTGTTCTTGTGTTAGCGGAAGGATTGAACGCTATAATACATGTTAAACCTCTCCACATTCTGTATAAAATTATGTCCCAAGTCAAGAGCCAGTAATTCAGTGGTTTTCGGTGGTTGCTGTCTATCATATTTATTTTTCGCTTATTGTGTTGTACATAAAGGCCAGAAGTTCTCTCGTTTGAATTGTTCTGCGTTGTGATATGTCTGGAGCTTTTAAAGCTTACTATACGTTATCGGTTTTTTTTCTTTTCATTTTTCATGAAGGCCGTACGGTGACACGCAGTTGCTTACATTTACGTTACTTGGTCTCCTGTGGATATTTGTTTCATGGACAACCATACACATGTTGAATTTCTGAGTTTATAATAATCTACCTTTTTCATTATATAATATCGATCGAGATCATCCTTATCTGATGTTAATGTTTTAAAATCATTATAGCGAAAAAAATTATAAAATTGTCAAACAAAGAAAAGATGGTTTCAGTTTCTGGTTTTATGATGTTACTTTCGGGAAGAGTCCAACAGAATAAATTAGGGTTACTAATCTTAGTTCAAAAAGGTTTTAATGACTAAAATATGTTTACTGCGACTCCTATTATACAAGAAGCTTCGAAGTAGCGGGGTTATATACATTTGTAGATTTTAAACCATCCGTCCGTCTGTCAGTCGTTTTTGTTCCGGATTATTGCCTTGATGCTAAATCGAGATTGCTTTGAATATTTTTAAACGCAGTATTTATTTGAAAAGGAAAACATTTTTTTTCTTTTTTTAAGCAATGTAACAAAACAAGTGCATGTACTATTAATTTCAACAAACTTTTTAACTTGATGTAGTTATTTAGAAACGTAACAGACAGTGATTATGTATGTTGAAAGTGTAATTATCTTTTTATGGCAAAGTGCTGATTGTAAGCGTTTTTTATGTCTATTCAAATAAAACATTTGATTAATAAAATATAATTGGTGCACATTGACGTAGCTTATGTTGAGGCAACCGAGGCAGTTGCCTCGGTTAAAAAAAAAAAAAAAAAAAAAAAAAAACCTTTTATAATCTTTTAAACGATTTCCACCTAATGCAGCAGACTAGCTACTAAACGCTGATATACCGTCTTGTGTTGTCTTGTTGTCGCTATTGATGATTATTCATACCCTTTGCGAATTCAAGACTTATGGAAAGCTTTCCTTCCTCTACTTGGAAATCCCCTTTACGGTAGTTTTCTGTAATCTAAATTTGTCGGAGTAAAAAAATAATCGACAACAGATTTATTTAGTCCTACCCCATTGCAAGCAAAATCAGTAGAATAGATGATGATCCAACTTACGAGTCTTCCCCGATCGAATCACTTTACCATTGAATCGGAAAGATTATCTAATTTTGTGTGAGATAAGTTTCTAGTATATGAGGGTCTGGCTGAGGTTTATAGAAAAAACAGAAAAATGCCCTGAAATTAATTTAAACTTAAAAGAATAGAGATTTAAAATGGTGCTTAAATATAAAAGAATGGAAAATCAAATTATGGGAGAAAATAATTAAAAATAAATATTTGAAAACCCTATTCTTAGACTTCAAAACCCTCATTTATAACCGTGACGTCTAAAATTGAAACATCGTTGTTTGTTGACAATTTAGTGTAGAACTTCAAATACACAGAGTTTCACTGACTTTGGTACCAATCAAAATAAAATATGCATCAATCAACATGCACAGAAAATAATTTATATGTTGCGGTTCTCAAGATTTATTCTCGCTATTTTAAATTTATAATTTACAATAGCAGGGAATTTAAAATATTTAAAGGAGTCACTAACTCCAGAGAAATATTTTATATATGTCTGTTAGTTAATACATAATGTCAGTTTATATATAAAAATTTCAACCAAATACTGTTTTCATTTATCATAGTACTTCGCCGGTTGTCATTTTCATCGTGAATGTAAAAAAGTTCAAAAAACCATTTAATAATTTGAAGACCTTCCAAGGAATACCAGGACGAAACACAACCAATACAAGTGCCGTGGTGCACTTTACATGTAGCATGTGTTTATCTCCTAGTTTATCAAGATATTCTACTGTTCAATCCGTCCGTCGTTTTGGGATGATTATCTATAATTCGTTGATTCGTGACCCACGACCAAGCGAGTAAAATGATCATCACAAACATTATTTCAAATAAACCTTAATTGTTGCGTTTGTTTTTCTGTATTGAAAATTATGTACAGGTTTTATCTGTCCATCGAACAAGGTCATGATTTCTTTTGATATGACGTTAAATCATATGTCACAGTGAGATACAGCCATCTATTTTAGAGTGTACGACGGCTTGGAAATATATTGGGAGATTAGGCTTTTGCGCTGGCTTTCAGTTACTGCTAGCAAGTAAGGAAACTGACTTGTCAGCGGTTGTCTTATGTGATATCCACGTGTTTTGTTGTTTTTTTATAACTTTGAGTTGACCGTAGATTAGATAGTATCGATTTAAATCATACACAATTTTCTATAGACTCAGGACAATTTTGAACTTGATCAATCTCCTGTATCCGTAAAGAATTTTAAATCTGGGAAGTTCACTGAATAGATTTGATTTGAAAAAGTGGTAAATGCTTTTGATTTATGTATTCATTTGAACATTGAAAATGATGCAGATACCAGAAATCAACTAATAAATCGGTAGTATAACTTAGTGTAAGGCATATTAACATTATTATGATGAAATAAAATTGATCAACAACTAATATTTTTCATAGATTCTTCTTGTTCAAATTATAAAAACCTAGATATCTTCTGGGGGGGGGGGGGGGGGGGGGGGGCTGCGACCCCCCCTGACCCCCTGCCTCGGTACAAACAGAAAGGCAAGCTACGCTACTGGTGCAAATTGCAAACTCGTCTTACTTTATAATAATGTGATCAAAATAGTTGGGATTACCTCCACATAGATGTCACACAAAGGTTGTTTAAGTTATATATGACGTGAGGTCACAATGATTACTACTCCATGGAGGGCATTGTTGTAATGCGAAAGAATTTTCTGGTAATTCGATCCTGAGCGGTGCTGGTTGGACCTGATTCTGTGCTGTTGGGCTTGTTTACATTGTATCAGAACGAAAATTAATGTAACAACCATTCTGTTGATTACTGTTTAACTTATGCGCTATACGTACCTTGCAAGGTATATTACAACGATTCTTTGTTGACTAAGTCGTGAAAATTCACAAAACGAGAGTGTCCTGATAATATGCTGATGATAAGGGAAACAAATTTGGTTATGTGCTCTTTTAATTTGAGTGTAAATTGGCAAACAGTCAATAATATTGTACTAGAACATTTGTCATGGAGTCCTGGAACTGTGGTCTTTAAAATTTAAGTATTAAGTGACAAATATTCAATACTATTGACGCAGGCAAATTGTATCATTGAATGTAAAGACACATAGCATACATTTGGTGACTGCATTATTTTATATAATTATGATATTACTATAAATAGATATTTCAAAATGTTTTTTGTTCTTCTGTTAATTTTAAAAACAAAATCGTAGACAGATACCGATGACAACCATTGCATTACAGGCTCTTGTCTTTGGACCAGCACATACATAATGTGATGGGGTGTAACAACATTGTGAACACAGAACCCATAGTGTTGTAAGAACACTAAAAAATATCCATTGGAAAGCGATTTTACAAAATAGATTAGTACAAGGCACAAAAACTAATAACACACAGTCGAAAGCCACAAAGTATTGATCTATAAGATTAATCGCAGTTATTGAAATTTAGTTTGAAGTAAAAAATGTGTTAAAACGTCATAGACATATCAAAGAAAGCATGTTCTGCAAAACCGAAGTTTTGGTATGGACAGGATGCACGAAGATAATTGTTAATATCTGAACAGGAATACGTGTTTCGTTATGTATTAAACTATTAAGTATTAATTTCCATGTTAACACAGCTAAAAATAATAAAGGATCATACTGCTTGTACCCTGCTAACTTTTATCATACTGTTTGTACCCTGCTAACTTTTAATCTTTTAAAGTGTGTCATATTTGTTTTTGTATATTGTTTTGTTCATTAATCTGGCAGTTTGTGTTCTCGTTAGAATTATTTCTGGATCTTTTATATTTACCATGTTAATCGTTAGTTAAAGTTAAACAAAATAAATTGAACTCTGTATTAGAATAGGAAACAATGACCAAGTTGGTATAGTTGAATTGTTTACATCTGTTTCTATGGGCTTAAAAACTGTAATGCAGGTGCGTAATTTATGATTTGTTAATCTTATATAAGTGTTTATACTTTAGTAAGATAATAGTACGGAGCTTCGAGATTCTGTAAACCTTTGAATAAAAGACAAATTTTCAGAAAACAGTCGAAAAAGTCGGAAAGTGCAAATACATGTGAATCTATTTTTGTACATAAGCATAGACTCCACCTAAAAATATCCACAGAAAAATAACAAATTCATCTTTTTAAAGCAATGGTTTGCTTCTCTGCTCCTTGTAACAGTTTGCTGGGGGTAAAATCCCCCCAAAAAATAGACCATTATCTCATCGAGAAGAAAAAGTCGGGTTCACCTTTGAATGCTCAAGCGTGCTTGAGTTGACTGTTTGTCTTGAAGACGTATAAAGCAACCTATTTGATACATCATTTCGCTGCAGGTTATTATTTTGATAAATAATAACATTACAAATTCACAGTACTAAGGAATGAAGTATATGGGTCAATATCCTTAATGCGCCTCAAGTTGAGGAACTCAAAAACAGTGCGTTAGCAAAAATTCTCTGTGAAGTGACATTGGGCAGTCATGCTTCAATTTTTAACAAGTGCCTGAGTTTACCGATTTGTGCTGATTTGAAGAGCAGAGGACCATAGAATAAAGGTGTAAAAACTATGGAGTTATTAATTGTATGCAAAGAACTAAATTTTCAAAGAAATTACTGTGTGAAAAAAAGATTTTTTACCTCGAGAAGTCGCATCACACAGGGCTTTTCGGATTATGCTAAATTATGGATATACGAATCTCACTTCGTACCCCGAAATTTTAACCACATACGATAAAATGTCTCAGCTTCGAAACGAGCCATCATACATATCCAAGTTTGCGATAGATTAGAAAATAGGCTAAGATTACCTCCTACCTGAAATGAATTGCGCATCTTGACTCATATGGGTAATGTGAAATACCTTTCTAATGAGTCATAACAACAGACTATGTGTGTTTGTATTACTACAAATGTGAGAATTTGAGGTATGTTTCTTATTTGTATTTTCTTTTTCTTTCACTCATTTTGCAATTACATTAAGGCATCTTAATTATTTTGTTCATGAAATGTACTTAAAAAAAAAGAAAAGTCACTAGGACAGTTCACTAACATCCCCTAAAATTAAAACTGAAGGCCCTTGGTGACAGACTTAACTTGTGGATCTTTTGTACGCATAACCTCAACACATTTTCATCTTTTGTGTGTTTTATCTTGGGTAATTAGTATTCAAACTATGAACATTTTATGTCTGCCCTTCCACGAAATATCTAATTAGATTTTATTTGGTGCTTTTGGTGTTTTTAACTTTCAAAGTTCCCCCTTACAAACGACCAAACGTTTTTTTGAGTAGATGAAATGCCTTTGAGTACGTTATCTAGTAGATACATTAGTCTTTTAAAATACAACTGTCATGTAAGGCTCGTAACTAGGATGCTATGTGGATAAATTTATCTGAGCTAAATTGACAGCGCGTCATCCCTTTAATGGCTTCCATTTTCACGATTGAAAACAAATTAGGTGGCGTAAAGGGGGTATGATTTTGACGAATAGAAACCTTATTGAACTGGCTATGCGGTATGGCATTGCTCATTGCTGAAGTTTTTATGGTGAACTATACTTGCTAATGTCTACTTCATTTGGTCTCTGGTTGAGAGTTGTCTCGTTGTCAATCATATCACATCTTCGTATATGTTTATTTTAAAGGTG